ACCGAGGTCGCTCCCCAAGCTGGAGACGTCCAGATGACCGACGTCCAGGAACGACTCATCAAGAAGCTGGGTGCCAACGCCTACCCCATCACCGTGAACCTTCCGGAGAACGCCCCCTGTTCCGTCTCCCTCGACGGTGGGAGTGAGGGTTCTGTACGTATACCTTTACCTATATGTTTATTTCTGCTTTTACTGAATATAAACTCATTTTCGTCTTCTGAAATAACATGTCACTGGCTGCTAAAACGATAAAAAAGTTGTTGGAATCAGATATTTATCAGAATTCTCATTTGAAACAGACCCAGCCTCTTGGTGTGATCTACGATCTCAAGCTGTACGTTGCTGACCGCAAGGAGGAACGTCCTCACAAGCGGAACTCCGTCGGCTTCGCTGTCCGAAAGGTCCAGTACGCCTGTCCTGGCTCCGGCAACCGCCAGCCCCAGACCCTGGTCAGCAAGGGCTTCACTCTTTCCCCAGGAAGGCTCAACCTTGAGGTCACTCTGCCTCGCGACGTCTACTTCCACGGACAGCCCATCGAGGCACAGCTTTCCGTCAACAATGTGTCCAAGAAGACCGTGAAGAACATCAAGGCTGAGGTTGTGCAGCATGTGGAGGTCACCATGACCAACACTCACTTCAGCCGAGTCGTGGCTTCACTCGAGTCTCGCGAAGGATGTCCCATCACCCCAGGATGCAACCTCACCAGGACCTTCTCCCTCAACCCTGTTGCCTCCGTCAACAAGCGCCGCTTCGGCATCGCCCTCGACGGCCAAATCAAGGACCAGGACGCCAACCTGGCATCCTCTACCTTGGTGGCAGAAGGCAAGAACGTCAACGACGCTTTGGGCATCGTCGTGTCGTACTCTGTCCGCGTGAAGCTGAGCTGCGGCGCCATTGCCGGCGATCTTTCTGCCGACCTTCCCTTCAAGCTGGTGCACCCCGATCCTGCCTCTGTCAAGGCACCACTGCGCAAGACTCAGTCTGCCGATATCGAAGTCGAGGAATTTTCTCAGCTGCGCCGTGGTCAGTCCATTGCTGAGGACTAAGTCAAGCAGAAGCTACAGGATGCTCGGGGATCAGCCAATCATTGTCAACCAATTCGACTTTCAAGCATCAGTTTAATCGGAAGGGAAATTGCAGTTACAAATTCGCACACAATTAGGCCCTTGTATCGTACAACACTGTCATTGACATTTAAGCTTCTTATTAAGCCTTACATTTAGCATGCCAGTATCATTCCTTGAGCATTTATATTTTCATGGACAGTTCCATGTGATAATCCTATTTTCTATTTAAACTGCAATAAAATTTGAAGTAAATGTGGCGTTTCTCGCACCTTGTGTATTACAATAGTAAACATGAAAATGAAATATACACACGCATATGATATATTTGAGTATGTGTATGCACATTTATAGATATGTATATATACACATATACATGTATATATACATACATATATAATATATATACATCTATATCTGTGTGGTTGTCTATGTGTATGTATATATACATATACATGTATATACATATATTATATGTATGTATGTATATATGTGTATATATAAAAATATGGTTATATTTATATAATCATATATATGTATATATGTATTATACAAACATTTACATATATATATTTGTATATGTGTATTCATCTACATATATATACGGTTGTGTATGCACATATATGTATATGTATAGGTAACGCGAACTACATAAAATCATGAGCCTGATAAACCTACACTTGTATTAAGTGTTTTGCACAAAATGTACCAAAATAAATGGAAAAAAAACAATTCAGCATAACAATACAATTCTAATTCCGACAGTTTCGCACGGGGAAAATACTACGCACAAAATCTTTCAGAAAACCTTTCTCTCACTCTCTTTGAAAATATCAATGTTGCTTAGTATGTACTATACGAATTTAGAGTTCATTTTTTTTCATTTTATTCAGTTGATTTATTTTATGCAACCATTTAAACATTGCAATGATGTACTGCATGTCTTAAGCAAGTTAGTAAATGAATAAGAATATTTTTTATCTCCATTTTCCAATACTGTCAGCTTGCCAAGTACGCTTTTATGTCTAAAGTCTTTTAAGTTCGCGTATTTACCTTTTTGCCCGTGTACATGTTTTTTTTTTTTCTGAAATATTGATCTAATAATTATCAACAAGATTTGTTCATAATAAAGTTTAGCTTAGAAATGTTTTATATTTATATAAACTTCTCGTTTGATTATTAACTTCAAGCTCCACGTTTGGTTCTGTTCATTTATTTTTGATGGTAAGTTCGCGTGTGTTTTGATAACTTTCGGTTTGAGGTAATTTTCAAGAATATCGCAGTTTTTAATTCATAATAGAACAAGATATGTACTTAAATTAATGTAGCACACAATATGTGCACTTAGAGGGAACATGTTATGTATACATTTGTGTTATTCAAAATATGATTCAATAATTTCTTCTAAATATATCAGATGACTGTATCTGCGATGGCTACATTATCATGTATATGCATGAAAGAAAAAAATCAAGATTATACTTAAATGCATGTATATGTGCGTGTGTATATATGTGTGTACATAAATGTGTATGTATCTATGCAAAGGAAACATACCTATTGATGTTCAATAATACATGCATATGTATACTATATGTTATATATTTCTTAAGTGTTTAATGTACGAAATACATTGAACAAAACATTTGTGTAATATTTTCACAGAGTACTTTTCCTTTTCCACTGACTGGTTAAAATCTCTTTAGAAGGCTGCAGCTATGGCGTGTATCATCAAAGCAGAAAGCCAGGTTTCTACGTAACTCAGTATCAGTGATCATATATATCGGTAAAGACTGGTTGTAAAGTAATTCATGTTAACTTCAAGTAATACATATTCTTGCAAACGTCGTTCTTAAAGTCATTGTCAATTCGTTGATTTTGTATGACAAACTTATGCTTATTTTCATTAAAAGCCTATGTTGATGAAAAACTAGATATATGTCCCATGGTAATCCATGAAGTTAACCCTACCTATTTTGGCAATAAGTTTCCATTACTGAATAGTTTTCAGTTGTCCATTACTCTCTCTTATCCGAAACATAATGCAAAAATTTCTAAATATGTCGCATGGCTAATTTACTACCTTTGCTATCAATGAAATCCTGTAATTCAAGTTGCATACTCAGTGACGAACTATTTATTTCAGAAAATGTCATGACAAAAAAAAACACTCAAGTCCCAGGAAGCGTCTCGCTACTACTAATCTCATTATGCCAGCATGGCAGTATAAGAACCGGCCTCCAACGCTGCTCGGCATCAGCTTCCCTCCGACAATCTTCGGGACTTCACACACTCCTACGAGTTTACCAACAACCTCTTTAATGGTTAACGCTGTTAAGGTCTTCAAAAAGACTTCACCTAATGGTAATAAAAAAACAACTTTTCATGTTTTCTTGTCTGTGTAATGGCATGCTCCTTAGTAAATGTAGTTAAAAACGAGACAGTGGAAAAATGATCCCATTTCTTCCCTCCAGGTAAGGTCACCGCGTATCTAAGTCGGCGGGACTTCGTGGACCACGTCACCCACACCTCTCCTGTGGACGGTGTGGTGGTCGTGGACCATGACTACCTGCGTGGAAGGAGAGTGTTCGCGCGCGTGGCGGTCACCTACCGCTACGGCCGCGAGGAGGATGAGGTCATGGGACTTCACTTCAGCAAGGAGCTCGAACTCGTCAACACCGAGGTCGCTCCCCAAGCTGGAGACGTCCAGATGACCGACGTCCAGGAACGACTCATCAAGAAGCTGGGTGCCAACGCCTACCCCATCACCGTGAACCTTCCGGAGAACGCCCCCTGTTCCGTCTCCCTCGACGGTGGGAGTGAGGGTTCTGTACGTATACCTTTACCTATATGTTTTATTTCTGCTTTTACTGAATATAAACTCATTTTCGTCTTCTGAAATAACATGTCACTGGCTGCTAAAACGATCAAAAAGTTGTTGGAATCAGATATTTAACAGAATTCTCATTTGAAACAGACCCAGCCTCTTGGTGTGATCTACGATCTCAAGCTGTACGTTGCTGACCGCAAGGAGGAACGTCCTCACAAGCGGAACTCCGTCGGCTTCGCTGTCCGAAAGGTCCAGTACGCCTGTCCTGGCTCCGGCAACCGCCAACCCCAGACCCTGGTCAGCAAGGGCTTCACTCTTTCCCCAGGAAGGCTCAACCTTGAGGTCACTCTGCCTCGCGACGTCTACTTCCACGGACAGCCCATCGAGGCACAGCTTTCCGTCAACAATGTGTCCAAGAAGACCGTGAAGAACATCAAGGCTGAGGTTGTGCAGCACGTGGAGGTCACCATGACCAACACTCACTTCAGCCGAGTCGTGGCTTCACTCGAGTCTCGCGAAGGATGTCCCATCACCCCAGGATGCAACCTCACCAGGACCTTCTCCCTCAACCCTGTTGCCTCCGTCAACAAGCGCCGCTTCGGCATCGCCCTCGACGGCCAAATCAAGGACCAGGACGCCAACCTGGCATCCTCTACCTTGGTGGCAGAAGGCAAGAACGTCAACGACGCTTTGGGCATCGTCGTGTCGTACTCTGTCCGCGTGAAGCTGAGCTGCGGCGCCATTGCCGGCGATCTTTCTGCCGACCTTCCCTTCAAGCTGGTGCACCCCGATCCTGCCTCTGTCAAGGCACCACTGCGCAAGACTCAGTCTGCCGATATCGAAGTCGAGGAATTTTCTCAGCTGCGCCGTGGTCAGTCCATTGCTGAGGACTAAGTCAAGCAGAAGCTACAGGATGCTCGGGGATCAACCAATCATTGTCAACCAATTCGACTTTCAAGCATCAGTTTAATCGGAAGGGAAATTGCAGTTACAAATTCGCACACAATTAGGCCCTTGTATCGTACAACACTGTCATTGACATTTAAGCTTCTTATTAAGCCTTACATTTAGCATGCCAGTATCATTCCTTGAGCATTTATATTTTCATGGACAGTTCCATGTGATAATCCTATTTTCTATTTAAACTGCAATAAAATTCGAATTAAATGTGGCGTTTCTCGCACCTTGTGTATTACAATAGTAAACATGAAAATTATATATACATAATATATGCACACACGCATATGATATATTTGAGTATGTGTATGCACATCTATAGATATGTATATGCACACATATACATGTATATATACATACATATATAATATATATACATATATATCTGTGTGGTTGTCTATGTGTATGTATATATACATATACATGTATATACATATATTATATGTATGTATGTATATGTGTGTATATATAAAAATATGGTTATATTTATATAATCATATATATGTATATATGTATTATACAAACATTTACATATATATATTTGTATATGTGTATTCATCTACATATATATACGGTTGTGTATGCACATATATGTATATGTATAGGTAACGCGAACTACATAAAATCATGAGCCTGATAAACCTACACTTGTATTAAGTGTTTTGCACAAAATGTACCAAAATAATTGGAAAAAAAAAACAATTCAGCATAACAATACAATTTTAATTCCGACAGTTTCGCACGGGGATAATACTACGCACAAAATCTTTCAGAAAACCTTTCTCTCACTCTCTTTGAAAATATCAATGTTGCTTAGTATGTACTATACGAATTTAGAGTTCATTTTTTTTCATTTTATTCAGTTGATTTATTTTATGCAACCATTTAAACATTGCAATGATGTACTGCATGTCTTAAGCAAGTTAGTAAATGAGTAAGAATATTTTTTTATCTCCATTTTCCAATACTGTCAGCTTGCCAAGTACGCTTTTATGTCTAAAGTCTTTTAAGTTCGCGTATTTACCTTTTTGCCCGTGTACATGTTTTTTTTCTGAAATATTGATCTAATAATTATCAACAAGATTTGTTCATAATAAAGTTTAGCTTAGAAATGTTTTATATTTATATAAACTTCTCGTTTGATTATTAACTTCAAGCTCCACGCTTGGTTCTGTTCATTTATTTTTGAAGGAAGTTCGCGTGTGTTTTGATAACTTTCGGTTTGAGGTAATTTTCAAGAATATCGCAGTTTTTAATTCATAATAGAACAAGATATGTACTTAAATTAATGTAGCACACTCTATGTGCACTTAGAGGAAACTTGTATGCATCTGTGTTATTCAAAATATGATTCAATAATTTCTTCTAAATATATCAGATGACTGTATATGCAATGGCTACATTATCATGTATATGCATGAAAGAAAAACTTTCCACATTATACTTAAATGTATGTATATGTGCGTGTGTGTATATATATGTGGGTGTGTATGTCTGTATACATAAATAAATGTGTATATATCTATGCAAAGGAAACATACCTATTGATATTCAATAATACATACATGTATATTATGTTATATATTTAAGTGTTTAATGTACGAAATACATTGAACAAAACATTTGTCTAATATTTTCACAGACTCCTTTTCCTCTGACTGGTTAAAATCTCTTTAGAAGGCTGCAGCTATGGCGTGTATCATCAAAGCAGAAAGCCAGGTTTCTACGTAACTCAGTATCAGTGATCATATATATCGGTAAAGACTGGTTGTAAAGTAATTCATGTTAACTTCAAGTAATAAATATTCTTGCAAACGTCGTTCTTAAAGTCATTGTCAATTCGCTGATTTTGTATGACAAACTTATGCTTATTTTCATTAAAAGCCTATGTTGATGAAAAACTAGATATCTGTCCCATGGTAATCCATGAAGCTAACCCTACCTATTTTGGCAATAAGTTTCCATTACTGAATAGTTTTCAGTTGTCCATTACTCTCTCTTATCCGAAATATAATGCAAAAATTTCTAAATATGTCACATGGCTAATCTACTACCTTTGCTATCAATGAAATCCTGTGATTCAAGTTGCATACTCAGTGACGAACTATTTATTTCAGAAAATGTCATGACAAAAAAAACACTCATGTCCCAGGAAGCGTCTCGCTACTACTAATCTCATTACGCCAGCATGGCAGTATAAGAACCGGCCTCCAACGCTGCTCGGCATCAGCTTCCCTCCGACAATCTTCGGGACTTCACACACTCCTCCGAGTTTGCCAACAACCTCTTTAATGGTTAACGCTGTTAAGGTCTTCAAAAAGACTTCACCTAATGGTAATAAGAAAAATCATGTTTTCCTGCTTGTGTAATGACATGCTCCTTCGGCTTCGCTGTCCGAAAGGTCCAGTACGCCTGTCCTGGCTCCGGCAACCGCCAACCCCAGACCCTGGTCAGCAAGGGCTTCACTCTTTCCCCAGGAAGGCTCAACCTTGAGGTCACTCTGCCTCGCGACGTCTACTTCCACGGACAGCCCATCGAGGCACAGCTTTCCGTCAACAATGTGTCCAAGAAGACCGTGAAGAACATCAAGGCTGAGGTTGTGCAGCACGTGGAGGTCACCATGACCAACACTCATTTCAGCCGAGTCGTGGCTTCACTCGAGTCTCGCGAAGGATGTCCCATCACCCCAGGATGCAACCTCACCAGGACCTTCTCCCTCAACCCTGTTGCCTCCGTCAACAAGCGCCGCTTCGGCATCGCCCTTGACGGCCAAATCAAGGACCAGGACGCCAACCTGGCATCCTCTACCTTGGTGGCAGAAGGCAAGAACGTCAACGACGCTTTGGGCATCGTCGTGTCGTACTCTGTCCGCGTGAAGCTGAGCTGCGGCGCCATTGCCGGCGACCTGACTGCCGACCTTCCCTTCAAGCTGGTGCACCCCGATCCTGCCTCTGTCAAGGCACTACTGCGCAAGACTCAGTCTGCCGATATCGAAGTCGAGGAATTTTCTCAGCTTCGCCGTGGTCAGTCCATTGCTGAGGACTAAGTCAAGCAGAAGCTACAGGATGCTCGGGGATCAGCCAATCATTGTCAACCAATTCGACTTTCAAGCATCAGTTTAATCGGAAGGGAAATTGCAGTTACAAATTCGCACACAATTAGGCCCTTGTATCGTACAACACTGTCATTGACATTTAAGCTTCTTATTAAGTCTTACATTTAGCATGCCAGTATCATTCCTTGAGCATTTATATTTTCATGGACAGTTCCATGAAAATATAATTAGGTATTTGCATAATACAATCCTGTTTTAAATGTTAGCTTTGTTTATTAAGTATATGTTAAGCATGGCAACATCATATCTTGAGCATTTATATTTTCATGGAAATTTCCATGTAATAATCTTATTTTCTATTGAAACTGCAATAAAATTTGAAGTAAAAGTGAAATGTCTCACGCACCTTATTTTTAAAAATATATATATGATTCGCATACAATATTGAATAAGAATTTAAAAATTATGACTCAAAGGAATTATATATTTTTTCACAAAATATGCCAAAATGAGCACAGTTGGTTTAATACAACAATTTTTTTTTCAATACTTTTGTGTAAAGCATTCTGTCAGACACTAATGGCTTCACAAAGAACAAATACTATGCACAAATCTCAACAATCTTAAAGAATACACCACGTAAGCCTGCTTTACAGATATATGTACTGTCTGTATATATATGTGTGTGTGTGTGTGTGTTTTATATCCATACATCTATATGCATGAGTTTGTGTGTCTGTATGCATAGATATCCATGTGGACAGACCGATATTTAGATATACCTGCATGGAATGTGTGTTTACCATATAAATTTTCAGTTACTGCTTTTCACCAGGTATATTTGTCTATTCTAATGTTTTATACATATGTGCAGGCCCGTTATATAAGTATCAGTTTGTCCATCAATTTTCCGCACCACGCATCGCCATCTTCATTTGTTTTCACTGGGAAGGTCGCACGCTTTTTGACAGGTTTTCCTAGAGAGGGTTTCATGACGACCAAGTTTGACGCCGATTTGCTTCTTGAGTTTGTTCAGCATTTGGTCTTTCGATGAAGTTATTATGAGAAATCCGTGGATATATAATTGATATATGAATTATATGCAATTGCTGTCTGATAATATGCACCAAACGTTGAATAAATCAGTGAAGATAAAGTTCAGAAATCGATGTTTTATTTATGACGCTGAAAAGCGTGGGACATGATTGGCATGGACTGTCCCTGTCATTCATAGAGGCTGTCATAGTTCTTTTTTGTATTATTTGATTTGCTGGGTTTTATTGTATGTCAAAATCACATGTTCATCTCCTAATATTTCGAAATAGACTGAAGCCTTTATATGATTCATTTAAGGTCATGATGAATTTTAGTGATAAAGTTGAACACCACAGGAACGTTAAATTCCATTTAAGATAACACGTGTTTTATATGTATGCCTATGTGTTTGTGTATGTTCAGAAAATACACTATGAATATTCACAAGGATAGGAAAACGGGTTAGGTTCTGCGTCACGGGTGAGTCCCCACAAGTAAATAGCATGGCGCCAAGCATATATACACACGAGCATACACACACATACACCCCACAAACACACAACACACACATAAACGCACGCACATATATATGCGCGTGTATGTGTATATATGTATATATGAATATATACACATATACATATATATATAAATATATACATATACATAAATACACACACACACACACACACACATATATATATATATATATATATATATATATATGTGTGTGTGTGTGTGTGTGTGTGTGTGTGTGTGTATCTATGCATGCATATTCATATATACATATATATCTATGAATGTGTGAGTGGGGGTGCAATAATGCATATGCGTGCGTGATGCATGATATACATACGCATATAAAGAGATATAGCGTTTCAGATTATATATACGTAAATATATTTATATACGTACATAGTGAGAACCAAGCTATGATTCACTAATTTCTTTCTAATGTTTTAGATGATTATATCTGCAATAGTTATCAAGTTATGTGCACATATGACACAATCTATGATTCCGTATGTATATATATATATATATATATATATATATATATAT